GTCACATAATTATTCAGGTATCACGATCTAAAAATTAAAAATGAAGTGGTACAATAATTATGGAAGTCACTGTATATGGAAACGCCCACAGTAAAAGCCGGGGCTCAGCCGAAATTTTGTTTTTGAAATTTTATTATAATTACATATTAATTGACCTAATGTTTCAGAAAAGTAAAAAAAATTTTATATATGCATATTAAAAAAAGTGTAGTTTTTTATAATTTATTTTTGTATTTTTCTTTTATTATATTTAATGAATAATAATGCTAGAAAAAAACTAATACTTTTAATGAATTTCTTGCATTTCACGTAATTTGCCGAGCCCCGGCGTTTTCTGCGGGCGTCCCTATTTCATTTTTTTTTTTTTTTTATACAGTATAATATAAATTTTATTGTCATTATTTATTAAAATACCTTATGATTTTTCTATTAGTTTTTTATTTGATGATGATAAAAAGTCGGTTATATGTATAAAGAACTTTTAATTAAAGAAAGTTGAAATGCAATAATAATAGAAAGAGTGCTCGATAAGAAATATTCAGTAAACATTTAAGTTTTTTTGTGGATTAGGGGTTTTTTTTTGAATATTCATTCAAATAGCAAATCATTTTAAGTAGTTATGTAAAATTTATAGATTGAAAATGACTTTGCTAATGAATTGGAAATTATCAAGCAGAGAATTATGTTATTATTAAAAAAAAAACACGATAATAAAAACTTGACTTTTCGAACAGATAACTTTATGTTCGTTAATGCTTAACTATCGGTGAAGTAAATTCACTTCAAGCATAAATAGTTATCTTTCATATTCCGATTCTCAATTAACTTATTAAGAGAATTTAACAACGATTAAAAGCAAATATATCATTCGCGAAAAGATCTATTCGTGAAAATTTAGCGCGATATACGGCCCATGAGCCAACTCGAACCTTTAAATACTCAGGTATATTCGAAAAAAAAACTGTAGGCAGCTCTGGAAAGTTCCATTAGTAAAATCCAATAACGGGTAAATTTTTTTCTTTTTACAATTCGTACTACATTGCATTATTAGTTTCAAACGGAAGGTAGATCCTTTTATCAGTTCAAATTACAATATGTAATGTAACAGTAACTTTGTTCTAGGTGATCAAGGTCTAGACCTTAGAAAAAATAAAAGCCTAATATTTACAACTTTATTGTATTCGAATATTGTAAAGTAAAAAACATAATAATTTGGATAAAAAAAAAGAAAAAAGAAAAAATAATATACAAAAAAAGTGGAAGTGAAAAATGAATAATTGATTGAGATTATTAAATCTATTAATTATTATTATTATTTTTTTTTAATTGTAGATGAGAAATTTTTATTTTGGAAGAGGAATAATATTTATAATTTTTGTCTTCTAAAGAAGTTACAAATCATATTTACCATATATGAGAGTAATAATGGCTCTTTTTTCATTGTTTGTGAGCGATTTATTTTGTGAAATGAGTTTACAAGCGGCATCCCAATCTTGATGATTTCTTCCTAAGCTCGCAACAGCACAAGCTTCTTTAACCGCAAGTGCTACTATTTGACCACGATTTGAATCGGTAGAGGAAAATGAGGTTACTTCAATTTCCTCCCTTTTTGTCGTAGAATTCGCTGACTGTGAGTTTGTCATTATAGAAATGCTCCGGATGAAAAAAAAATATATATTTGATGAATTTTAAGAATTATTATAAGATGGGATTGGAAGTTTTTTTTGTTGAGAATCTTTTTTGAAGGATGTAATAAAAAATCGAAGATAAAGCAGCTAATAAATAGGTCATAAAAAAAATTCCAGAATCTTATAAATATTTTTACAAATAAATGCCATTGAAAAATATGTAGCTTATTTTATTTTGTTTTTTTTTTTTTTAAAAAAAAAGAAAAATAAACTATTATATACGTATATGATTAAAAAAATAAGAATGATCTAGACCGGAATATCCAAAATCATAGTACACACAAAAAAAAAATCCGATTGTTATGGACGATTTACCATAAGACTTGTGATACTGTAAAATTTCAGCTGTCATTAAATCAATGAACGCCTACATATTTGTTTATAATATGAAGGAATCAAGTTCAATATAAAATATTTTCACGGATAATTCGAGATTTATGCACCCTTAAAACGATTAAACTGACAATCTTTAAAATGCATCCCTTATTGTGAAACTTTTATCGTAAAACGGTTTAGTACCGAATGATGTTTACTCCAAAATAAGTTCAACTTTACCATTTTATCATGTAATCTACTGGCGCCCAGAAAATTGTCAGACTTGTAAGACAACGGCTCTCTCATCAACGATTATTGCAAGATTTGGATATCACGTGTTGTTTTCCCCTCATACCGGACGAGTAAATTTTTCATTTGTAACTGAGCCATATTTTATTAGATACATTTTTGGTCATCTATTGCATAAATGAAATATTTTATTAATTGTTTAATTTAATGTTACAATTCGTAAAATCGAATTTTAAAAAATCTCTATTTTTAACTTTGCGCATTATATTTTCGTTAAAAGGCCATCATTACAGTAAAAACATACAAAAATCTAACAGGCTGATCCTTTAGCGAGAACATATAACGTGCGAAGAATTGAAAAGTAGAGATTTTTTTTCAAAATTAGATTTTACACCTTGCATTACTCTAAACCAAACAATGAACAAAATGTTTCATTAAGTAATAGTTAGCTAATATGTTATTAAAAAATATAGCTCAGTTACTTATTAAAAAATTTACAAAATTATCTAATTCTTGACCGTGCAATACTTTTGTCCTCCCCCGGTTAAAATCCGAGGTTACGATTCCACAATTTAATTTGAATGGAATTAAACGTGTAATTTTATAAAGCGAAACACAAAGATCGATTAAAGGAACTAGTGGATATCAAAAAATTTTCGACATTTTTTTTTTCGATTTTATTTCCAAGAGTTTATAGAATTTCTTGCATTGACTTTGTTGTTTTAGTAATATTCTGTAAACTATCCAACAAAAAAAAATATTACAACATAAATCATATCTTTCAAAGAAATTAAAAATAATAATATTATCAAGGGTGAAATTAAACGAAATAACTTTTGTTATAAATCAAAATTTCTTACAACAAGAGCATTTACATTAGCTATTGTGCTTGTTGAAGATTCTGGTGTCCACACGAAATTATAGGAAGTCCGTTGTGATGTAATTTCCATTCGGGTTTTGATCTAAATTTGTTTGAATTTCCAATGTAAGAAGCAAACCTTGAATCGTATTATGGTGTGGTATTTCTAGTAAATTCGCCATGATAATAGCTAAGTTTCATATAAGATGGATCACAAGTTCCTGCTCCTCATGGAAAGCCAATGAAATACTTGAATTTATTATTAAAAAGAAAATATCAAATTGAAGATTTGATTTTTATTAAATTTGAAAATTATACGATCTTATTACTTTTAGTGAATCTTTGAAAAGAAAAGAAATTTACAATTACTTTATTTGTAGCTTTATACAAATGATTTTATTCCTTTTTTATACTATCGCGATAATGAATTCCGTATGTAAATATACCCGCCTATTCAAATTCTACTGATTTCATTCCTTATTTTTTTTTCTCTTTTCGATTTTTAAATTTTTCAAAAAGCATTGATCACACAGATAACGAGTAAAATCACCATGGTTGTTTTTTTACAAAAGACCAAACTCCGTAGCTTCAGTTAATAATCTTAGGAATAATAACATTATTGTCAAATATCGAAGATATCTAGAAATTAATGAAATTAATATTATATCCAAAAAGGCGGAAAATAATAAAATAGCGATTCACTCCCATACCAGTGATTTTTATTCATAAATTATGGAACTATCCAACAATTTTCGATACATATAAAGAAAATTGGAGGCTATGCAACCGCACTTCACGACACGGTGGCGTCAAGTAAAGGGTCGAATCAATTGGTTATGAATCTTATTGAAAACCAAGTTTAGAATTTATGGATTATGAGATTGTGATGTTAATCGCCGGAGGTATATTAAAGATTTAGTAAATCGACAAAATTAATCGAATGCCAATTGTCACGCGATCGATTTATTTCGTGTGGGTCGTTCCCGA